ATCAGAAATCAGTGCTCGTTGCCACTAAGATATTTCAGATTCTTAGTCGGATCACCTATTTTCCAAATATATAACGCGGTGTTTTTAGGATTGATGAAAAGATTACACAGTTCACAAAGTGTCCTTACGGAACAGAATTTTTTAGAATGCAGAAAGTTACAACAAAAGCTTTTGTTTACAAAACTGTTTTACAGTACCTGTAAATAAATCACTAAGTGGAAATAATTATTATGAAAAAAGTTGCAGTCTATTCTCTGAATTCATTTGAAACTGACGAGCAAAATTGAATATTCGATTACATGTATAATAATCAAGAGTAGTTATTTTCATAGTAGTAGTAGAATAATAATAATAGTGCTGATGCGGTAGTATAGTAGTTGTAATAGTAGTTGTAATAAATTGTAATAATTGAAAAACGGCCGCATGATTTGCGATTGTGACAATGTCGATCTTGTTTTTTTATTTTGTCGTTTTTTCTTTTTATGATTTGTGAATGAATCTATATGCAACTCTTATAATTTTCATGTTTGATTTATGTCATTCAATGAGCTTGAAATTCGAATAATTCGTACATCTTTAGATTTTTTAATGCAAGCACTTTGATTTATTTTTCTAAGCTGTGTTCCAAAACTCTTCTCGATGAGTAAAGTAGCATTTACTTGACCAATTAGGACAAAAACAACAAAGGTTTTTTTGATTCTGACTGCACAATTAAATGCGACTCTATTGAGAGTTCTAAATTTTATTCATATATTTCAGGGTCTAGTATTATCCTCGCTTTCTTTTTTGCATTTTTTTGCATTTTTGCTTTTCTCTCTTTGTTTGCCCGTTTTAAATTTTTCTACTGCGTAAATGCATTCACACAAGTTTTAACTGGCTCAAGGTCGCAATTTAAGAAAGGAATTTGAGTGGCGGATGAGTTGACCAATCCGTAGTCGAAACGTTTTACAGGAGAAAAAGAGGAAAATGTTCGACTCTGATTGGTGGATTTTAGCTTAAATTCTTTTTTGCGTGTCACTTAAGCTAAATGACTTCAACAACTATTAGGTTATAGGTTATATCAAAGAAGATTAAAACTATTAAAATTACTAAATTACTAAACAAAATGACAGCGACATTTACAAAATCCATGTGTACGTAAATTTCGTCAGTAATAATAATAATAAAATTCGAAATGGATATATTGAAATTTAAAAGATTTTCGGGGGTACGGTACTCTTTTGACAAATTTGGAAATGTCGGGACGAGATTCCGGGGTTTCCCGGGATGGGAGGGGGGGGAGAGGGGGAGAGGGGGAGGAAAGAGAGAAAGAAAATTAATGGGGGAGAGTCGGTTGTCTCTGAGGCCTTAAAGCCAAGCCAAGTCTCTTCTCTTTCTTTCAGAATAGTTATTCAGTGGAGGACGCGGAACAATTAAAGAGGAGAGACGACGAGTGTCCGCCGTAAAAAGGGAATTTTCGGAAGAGGATGCTCGGCAGTTGGGGCTGGGAAGAAGAATCGGAGTTGGGAGAGGGTACAGCAGCCCCGTCGCAAGAGAGACAAAGACGAGAGAGCCCAGACTCGACGCATCCTGTCCCCGACAGTCGGGTGCTGAGGTATGCACCCAGCCGGTGTCACCACCCTCCCAGCTACAGCTCGCCACATTTCAGCACGCAGCCTCCTCTCGACTGTACAGACTGTGAGTATATATATATATACGTTGTGCCAACGCTACGCGTTATCTTGATCTTGATACAACGAATATATACGGAATATAGGGACGAAAACGCACATTGTGCGCGAGACCCAGTTAACCCACCCACCCACCCCCGGGGAAACATTGAAAGATCATCATTCATTAAGAATGAACTTGCGGACTCACCTTTCGCTGTCTGTGGAAGTATCCTCTGGAAAAATTTGAAAAATTACTGGTATACATATCGATAAGTTAATTTACGTAGTTTACTACGTAATTAAATGATAATCTGAAAGTTGCCGCTTTCCGTTGCTGCTTTTTTTTGGGATATTTCCGTAATCGGAATATCGCACCTAACGTTGTTAAAAGATATCCTCGATACATTCTTTCGACGAGATGAATGTTATCGAAATATTTAACTTTTTTTTGTTATATTATGTTAACCTAAATTATTAGACATTGTAGAGAATATTATATAAGAATCGGTGAACTTTAAATAGAAAGAAAAATATACATCTTTAACTAGCGATGTATATCATACATGTCTCTTTTGTAAATGAAGCCATATTTTTATTTTTTATTGTGTCTCACAAACGGACGCATAGTTCTAGGACTAAGTGAGATGAATGATAAATACTTGTATTCTGATATCTAAGACACAGTAGATATAAAAATAGGTCTCCGATTTAAGGACACGTGGTCACTCGTGGAATTCAAGTCGAGGCTAAATCTGAATATTCTGGTCGAGTTCGATGTTGCGTTCGAAATAATCGATAAGTTCGGTCAACTTAAATGTTTCCGATTACCCTCGATATCATATGCCATCACAAATAAAAGTAAAACTTTCTATCTAGGAAAGCTTGCCTAATAAAAATATTTAAAAAGCTTCTTGAAGAATAATTTCAAAAATATCATGTTACTTTATTTTCTTTTATTTGTCTTTACACGATACATTATCCTTTTTCATCATCCCTTTTAAGTTTTAGAAACTTTCTTTTAAGATTTAGAAACTTTTTCTAAAATGCTCACTTGTACTCCTATCCTCACTCAAAAGATTTGAATCCACATTTACGATATACTGTCCAATATTATTTTTTGGAAAAACAAACTTTATTTACTTTCTTAAAATTTATTTATTTCTTGATGACGAATAATGTTAACGATAATCGGCATAAATCTTCAGAGCAGCGTGAGGTGGCCAAGATGCTGACTGCTCACCCTGAGATGCACGAGAAGCGGGACAGCCTCGGGAGCGGGCAATATGGGGCAGGCGGGGGTGGTGGCACTTCGATTGAGGAGAAATCTATTCCGGAACAACCACCCCCGCCTCCCGCACCGCCACAACGAGACCCATCGGATCCCACTATCAGCGCTAAGAAGCTTCCAAAGAAACGAAAATTCGATCTATCCGAGCTTGAGGAGATGGACAAAACTAGCAATGTCACCAGCAACATCAATAATATGGTCAACATACGGGGGCCAACTATGCCGCTTGGCGGCCAATCGGTTTTAGGACAGCAACCGAGCTTATCAACTACTACCAGCCGGCAATCGCCGCAACAACAAGAGTCCGATTGCTATCAAGTACGTTGATAAGTGGATGATTGATAAATAGTCGAAATTTTAATGTTATTACTCGGATATTTCATTGAGAGATATTTATGAATGTATATATGCAGCCATCTAATCTAAACAGAACAATATATATATATATATATTTTGTTCTGTTTAGATTATATTGTGATTGATTATAAAATATTAATACAAGATCCGGTGTGCTAGGTATAATAAGAAATAGGCATAAGTAGGAATAGAGACATAGTATAAGTAGGATAGTAGGAATAAGTAGTGAAGAATCTAGTTATTTAAGAAAAGAAAATTTAGAGAGGACCAGTTCGGGGGATGGCGTTAGAATTTTGGTAAAATTGAGGAAACTTGGAGGAAATAAATAAATATTGGATAGGAGAAGAAAAAAGAATGTGTGTTTTCTGTAAAGAAGGAAAGCACAAGAATATTATATTAAAGAATGCCAGAAAACTAAAAGATAGTGAACAAAGATAGGTAAGTGTCGGTCCACAATAAGTATTTAATCTTTAAGTCGTAAGAAATTGACCAATCATAGTCGATTATTCTTTTTATATTCGATTATAATTGGTCAATTTCTTACTTCTTAAAGCTTAAATCACCTATTGTGGACCGACACTAAGGACAAGGAAACGATTTTGAGGAGAATATGGGGAGAAGATCTAGATTGGAAAAAAGGAAAGGTGCTAAAGAAAATATGAATAGAAATGGAAAGAGAATGTAAAAAGAAAATGCGAAAATGTGATAAGATAAGCTGTGATAGGTGTAAATATGCTAATAAGTTAATAAATGTAAGGAGTAAAAAGATGGAACAGGGAGAATTGTATTGTTTTGCATTGTAGTATATTGTATAGCGTTGTATTTATGTAAACGAACGAGAAATTATGTAAAAATGAGATTAGAGTAAGTTAAAAAATAAGGTGGATGAAATGAATGAGGATAAGAATTTTATATTATAAACCAAGGTCCCTTCTTGGCTATATGGTTTGAAGAGTAAATAAATAAATTTCAATTCTATTCTAATATTAATACACTTTCAAAATTTCAATGTTTGACATTAACGTCTTTTAATATACACAAAGAATAATAATACATATAATTATTAATCTTATAACGAGAAATCTAATTTTACATAATAGAAAATAATTTTAATGAAACAAATTAAATATCATATTTATCTAATATTTATAATAATGTTTTATCTTTCACTTGAAATTATACATAAATTTCTGTTTTGTTGTTTAGATACCCCCAGCTCATTCGGTTGTAGTGTTACCTCCTCAAAATACAGCGGTGGATTACTCTCTCCGCGAGGAACCTTCACGTTCTCGTCCTCGTCTTGCTATTGATCTCAGTGAGTGGCGCGATCATAGAGTGTTAGCTTTAAGGGATTCATATTACTACCCGGGTGTTATACGTAACGTTGTTCACGGTGAGATTTTAATTGAATTCGACTGCGATGGGAAAGTAATGCGTTATAGTGACGTTCTTGGTACGAGACGATACGACGTAATAGGCGATGCAAGCCCGTCTCTGGGACAAGTGACTTTGGACACAAAGGTTTGCATCAGGTGTCCAATTGCGAACAATCATGTGGAGGCGACGAAGGTGTTTGTAAAGGGGACAGTGTGCAAGATATTAACGAAGCCTTATCGTTTTGTTGTGAAAATACCGCGGGAGGACGATCAGAGTGATAGTTATGTTGTCAAACGCGCGGACTTACGGCTAGTGCAACCTCCATGGGCGGAAGAATTGGAGGAGGGATTGGAGGAATGTGATCCTACAAGAGTTGAGACCATCGGTAATTACTCATTATATTATTTATATATAATCAACAAAACTTATTGTCATTTTTCTAAGAAAATAATAATAGTAATCTTTGTCTTTTTAAAATTTATCAGAACACGGGTATCGTAATAATACCACGGAAGCTCCGACAGCAGTGCCAATTTTGCAAATCCATCATAGTTCTCACCACACAGCGCATATGTCAAGTCATAACGACACAAGCTATTATAGAACGACCGGTACCAGTCCTCTCATGACTTTAAATCCTGCGCATTCTGCCACAGCGTTAAGTAATGGCAGTCGACCGTACGACGACTTAGAAAGCGAAGATGATTTAGACAGAGAAGATATTACATTTCCTTCGGATGCAGGTTGGATATAGCATAAAGTTTTTTAAAGCATTTTTGTATACAGTTACTCGAAATATCAGTTATGTTATTACAATTTGTAATGTAATTTTCGTGTTGCGTGCGCGCGCGAAAAATTGAATGCTTATTTGTATTTTAATAAACAGATTATTGAATTATTTATTTAACCGTTCTCGCAAAAATTTTATTTTCTATATTATAAGAAAAGCTTAAGGTCTTTAACGAGAGAAATTTAATCAAAACAATAGTATAGTAATTCAAGTATATTCAACTGACAGATGCAAAATTGTCAGGGAGCAGCAAAAGAAGCAGTATGCAGAGCCGAGGAAGTACCAGTAGCCTAGTAGAACAACGTAGTATAACGCCTCGTTCTCAGGCAGCCACACCCAGGTATTAATTCTATCGAATACAATAATTTTGCTTAAAATAAAATATAGTAGCAGTTGTACTTATTCAAAATTGTATACCTGCTTTTTTTCATTAAACAGATCTCAGGCGGCAACGCCACATAGGTATAAAAAGGGTGATATAGTGGTAACACCGAGTGGAGTAAGAAAAAAATACAATGGGAAACAATGGCGCCGACTTTGTAGTAGGAAGGACTGTAACAAGGAAAGCCAGCGAAGAGGATACTGTTCCCGTCATCTTAGCTTAAAAGGATCTGGTCTTAGAGGCCCTACGAATACATTTCCTGGGTATGAAGATTCACTTATTAGAATTGTCTTAGAGATCTTTTAACAATTGTTTGATTTTATTCTTATTATTTATTTTTTTTTCTTAGGAATTTACAAGAAATGTAATATCACAATTTATTTATCCGATTACATTTTGTACTTGTTTCTGTTTATGATTCCAAAAATATATTTTCTTTTCTTAAATTTTATAAATATATGAGATAGGGAGAATGGGAAAATGGGAAGAACTGAAAATGAAACAAACTAACATTTTTACTTGATTATTTTATTATGAAACTGTTGTCTTAACAATTATTTAATACATATAAATTTATTATGATTTTTTTCTTTGTTATTTATAGTGGTAAAATGGACGGCGAAGAAACATCGAGAGATTCCGATACTTCACCAAATTACGTTGACAGAAGAATTGCGGGTAGATTCGATCAAGATGAAACTGAAGCTGCTAATATGCTTGGTACATATTTTCTGTACATTTAGTAAAAAAATAAGAATCTTTTCTTTGTGTGTGTGTGTGTGTTAGAGAAAATTATAAAATTTCAATATATAGCACACTTTGAGTAAGAATTCATCATATATTACAACTAACTTTTAATTTGTTTACATAGATAGTCTATATATCGGTATTTGATATAAAATAATAATAATGTAAGATATTTTTATACAATAATAATTTTTTTATATTAAATCTATTATTGTACAGTGTCTTTGGGGAGCTCTAGATCGGCTACGCCAGCCTTTTCGTCACCGACGGGCCAGTCTTCTATATCGCCGTGTATAAATCAATCGCCGGTGCCGCCGTTGGGGCTCAACCAGAATAATGTATTCATGCCTATTTCGAGTCCCGCTCATCACGCGACTCCGCTGATTTCGCCCGGTGCAAAATGGAAGCATTCACCCACGCAATCGAACTTTTTAGTCCAGTATCCGCAACAAGTGATAAAACCCGAGCCAAATCGAGTAGACAGAAATCGACCGATTCCGATTTCCGCCAGTTTAGGAACAAGCGTCATAAGAATCTCTCCGGTGAGTCGCAGTATGCAACCCGGGCAGAATCCGAATCTGTCATGGTCGGAGCAGAGCCCGCCACCGACGAGACATCCTTCGGTTGTGACATCGATCGCCCAGCAACAGCAAGGCATAATCTTGCAACATGCGCTAACATCGAGTAACGATTTTCCCAATCAGACTGAGATGCCCGAACAGAGTCCGCAATTGATAAAACCGCCACTCTCGCCTCACATGCCTCTATCCACTATCTCGGTACCGCAGAATCTGACGCTTGTACATAAGACGCTGGAGCAACCTGTCGACTATGCGCCGTCACCACAGTCTCAGGGCCAGCCGATTTATGTAATGCACGAAAAAAAGTATCTTGTGATAAAGAACAGTATGGACATGTCGGCACCATCGGGCACACACATAAGCAATCAGGATGACAAGTATCGGCAGAGCCTGATCAACCATCCAGGCCAACTGTCGGCATCCACGTTGCATCAAGTTCAGTGTCAACAACCATCTCAATCACCTGCGGTTTCATCCGTCCACATTGACAAACTGCCTGTTCTGCAATCTGTAAGTTAACATGCTACATAATGAATTGCTAAATTAGGCTTGTTGTTGGAATACATTAACAATATCGTATTAGTATTATTCACATGTATGGTATAGGTAAGTTGAACATATCTCATTGCTTGTTGTTAGGTGAATAAAGTGAGTACACACACGACTGTGCATATGGACATGCAGAGGAATCAGCCGCCGCCTACGAGTGCCGTAATGACATCCACTACAGAGGCGTCCAATCCGTCTACTCCGACAAGCGTCTTCCAGCACGTAATTGTTCAGCCAGGACATTTGGTGCAAATTCCAAAAACCCAACCTCCTAGAGAAGAGAATCCAAAAAACAATGGTGCCCTCTGTAAGTTTCATATTATGAATAAGGTTGTTTGGATATAAACGGTTCCTTTTTTTGTACATAAAGGTTTTCCTTTATGTTTAATTCCTTTATATCTCAATTAATTTGTATAAATTTTAGTTTAAGTTTGTGAAAGTTATCATGTTACGTTGTGTTGCTTTTGTTTTTACCTCGTTTCGCTATTTTGGCTGTGTTCCAAAACCTGCCAGTACTGAAAATCTATAGTTCACGTAATATATACTATACATTATTAGCGCTGACGGTAAATTTTAGAACACAGCTTTGCATATTGCTTACAACGATGATTTTTAATGTCATAATATGTCGAATCGATGGTACAAGCAAATTTGACTAAACGGTAAGGCTTTCACAGATGGCAGCCACGAAGTTCCTCCTGCATACCAGCCCCATCCCCCATCATTACTGAACAATGCAGCGCGCGCCTGGAGAAAAGGTTTGAGTTCTGACTGCCAACTGAAATGTATCAAGCCTGTGAAATTGCTGTAGGTTGCAGTTTGTCAATGGCATAAAACACAAACATTTGTTTGTTATATTCAAATGTTATAAGTGCTTAATTATGTTTTAAATGTTTATCGTATCTTTCTCTTTTTTTATTTCATTTACGCATTCATTTTATACATTCTAATAATACAAGCTCAGATATTCACTGTCACTACTGAACAAAGTTTATATCACATATATTATAATTTTTTAATACTGGTGATGAATATCGGAACATAATTATATTCTTTATTATTGTGTCAATGTTGTGAGGGGGGATAAGTATTTCATTTTTTAAAATAAAATTATACTATTATACTGTATAAATATTTGATTCACATTAGTTGTGAATATTTTTTTTAATATTTAATATTTTTACTTTTGCGAACTCTTCTCGTATACCATTGACAATCTTGCAATAGACGCAATTAATTAACAAAGTGTATCCTCATCTCTTTTCATTTCATTTAACATGTACAACCAAGCATTTCTCTAAAAAAAGCTAAACTTTAATGCTGGGGAAGGCTATCTGTTAGCATTGGATTATCCGAAAAGTTTGTGTGAATTTCTTAAAATACAAAAAACAAATTTTTATGTACAAATAATTTTTTATTACTAAATTTTTATTTAATTACATATTACCGTTTTGTTTTACTTTATTCTTTCATTGTCTTTTATAAAGACAACAAATCTCAACATATTATCTCAACATATTATCTCAATTATGTAATATATTGTGCTAAAAAAATACCTATTAATAATTGGCACAAACTTTATGGACAAATCAATACTTTACCCTTAGATCACAATTATTAAATATTTTATATAATGTTACAATTGCTATATAAATGTCAAACTTAAATATAATTTAAATAATTTTCAAAATAGTAAGAATGGCTTCTCAATACTTTTATCCTTGATATTTTATCAAATTAATATTAGTACCTCAATTCTTTTTATTAATCCACTAATCTATTTTTTTTAAATATAGCAATGAAAATCTCTGTGTAAAATCCATAACATTACTTTCTTGGCTGCTACTCCTATATCATTACTAACCACACTCATTGCGACTAACTCACTAACTTCATTGCAGCTTTGTCCTGGCAGACAGCTCTGGAATCAGAGGTGAGCCCTCCTCCTTCTGCTCTGAGTCCACCCCTGAGTGCACCTCCAATACCAATAAGTATGAGCACACCTGCTGAAGATGGTCCTGGTACTGGTCCAGATCCTATAACACCCGCTGAAGAAGAGGATGATGATGTTTTTGAAGCAGAACCAACTCCACCCGCGGAAGTGGAAGCTAACGCTAATAAAAGACGCAGTCAATCGCTTAGTTCTTTGCAGCCACAGACTCCACTGAAGGTAAATATATCAATGATTATTGCATATAATTATTATTTTAATTACTGATCTGAAGTACAATAAAATATATAATGAGAATATATTCAATGATATTTTTGTATGATGTATTGTATATTTTCGTTATTATTATTGTATTGTATTGTATTATTGTACATTATTGTTATTTTGTTATAATTGTTAGCAGAAAGACAGAATACGTCGCCCAATGAATGCATTCATGATTTTCTCGAAACGGCATCGCGCCGTCGTGCATCAACGCCATCCCAATCAAGATAATCGTACTGTGTCCAAAATATTAGGAGAATGGTGGTATGCATTGGGACCAGAGGAGAAGCAAAAGTATCACGAGCTTGCCTCGGAAGTAAAAGAAGCACACTTTAAGGCACATCCAGATTGGAAATGGTGTAGTAAAGACAGACGTAAGCCATTGCCAACTAGCTTTAAGGGAAATGAAACTAGGGCAAAATTAAACAGCACTGGAGAGGAAACGGATCCTCTGCAGGGTTCTTCGTCGGAGGATCCATTAGTGATGACCGATGAAGTATCTACTCCAGTTACTACTACGTACAATGACACTTCCAATATTGAGGTAAGAAATTTCGCGACGATTACGCGAAATATAGCATAAGTTATAAATGATGCAAAAAAATAAGCAGTGCGTTTAAAAAGAATACATTGTGAAAAGAAGTTTCCGTTTCATTTTGAATATTTGCTTAGAAAAATATATTTGAATTTATTGACAAAATTATTAATAGATTATAAACCAATCACATACGCAACATCGGATTTCGGAGATCCCTTTGCAAATGGAAAACGCGGAGAATGATATCAAGCAGGACGATGACGCGAATGGATCGGACGACGATCAGATGGTTATCTGTGAGGATCCCCAGCCGGAAATAGATCTGAAGTGCAAAGACAAGTTAACAGACAGTGACAATGAAGCACAAGATGAGGATGTGGATAAGTGTTACCAACCGCAATTTTCGCCCGTGAGCGGTCAAAAGAGGGAAGTGATCAATGTTAAACAGGAAATAACGTGCAGGCCTAAACCGATAAAAGGTAAACTTTTAAAACACAAACACGAATGTAACGTGATACGTTACATAAATATATTTTTAACAATATGAATCTTGATGTTTATTTAGCACGGATACCCTCAACAGGTATAGAATCTACAACAAAATATCACCATATGGATAAAGGCGGTACTGTATCAGTTTTGTCGAGTACGTATCCTTATCACAGTCCTGTCAATCCAACAGGAGTGTCAGGGTTCCAGCCTACCGGTGGCGCTTTCATAACCATGCCGATATCGCCAAAGATTATTAAGCCAGAACCAGTGAAGAACGAACAGCAGTACAGCACGCAATATAGCGTGAGCAATCTCGTGAGCATCCACACTGAGAACGGACGGAACATGCCTAAATTTACAGCAGCTCCGGTGTTACACACTGTAAGTATAATTGTAACGAGTGGACTTTTTAACATACATTTGTTTTCTTTGCAATTCCATTAAAGACGCTCATCGTAAATGGTATAATACCGCAAATGTATATCACCGCAAACATATTCAGATCATTGAGAATCATCCCTGTCATCGTGCCGACAAGCTCTTCGTTTTCCCATGACGATATTGAAGTTATCTCATCATGACGATTGTCTGCTTAAGAAAGTAGCGCATATGTTTCTTCCGATAGTTTTGAGTAAAAGCTTTTAGGCAGACTCGGAGATTAAGTAACAAGTTTAACGATACTAACAGATTGGATCGAAACCTATGATGGCGCTGTTGAAACAACAGCAGCCGTTGCAGTCTTTAGGCACTGCTCTTCGCCCCTTTACTTCAACTGTCCCTTATCAACCACCGCTCACTCTAACATTGCTCGATAACGATTTGGTGGCTGTTTCCAAACCGCAGCAGGGATCGCAGTACCTTAACCCGACGCCGCCGCACTCGAGGATGTATGGTGGTTTCCAAATACCCATCACTGGTGAGTGTACAAAGATTTTGATTCCCGAGATTGCTCGTTTCTCGAGTATGCATACATAAATAACGAATCTGCGAATTTGCATATAGACGCTGGTAGCCGCAACAATTCGATATCCGTGCAGAGTTTGGCTTCGAACAACAAGATGGAGATTCAAAGCGTGATTGTGAGCAAACCTTATCCTGCAACGTTATCGACGGTTTCCAATACGTCGACTTACAGAGGGATTGGCCATTCCATTGCTCGTCTCGCGGAATCTGAAAACAATGACAATCAATTGGCTACGAATCACGCTCAGTTTTATGGTAATCTTTCTACAAAGTCTGTTTATTAACATTTACACATCACAATTATGCATGACGCTCTTATCATCATTTATCTTTTTGCTTTTGTCTATTACAGTCAGCAATATAAAAACAGAAAGTAACAAGGATTTTGCAAAAAATATAAACATTTCTCTTTCTACAATAAATGAGATACATAAGCAACCATCGACACCTCATACGCCGCATACGCCACAAAATAATCACGGAAACGGTGATCTATCGTCAAGTAAATCGTACACGTTCGATGAAGGGCAAAGCAATGATGTAACGCCAAGTAAAGGTCCGTTCATGCTTGCTCCGACTCCGGCACAACTTGGTCGAGCGCCATTGCAAAGGAGGCAATCAATGGGTATACAACAATATATAATTGTTTCAATATACGCATAAGAACTACAAATATATTACTAAGATAAAACAAAGAATATTTCAAAATTATTATAGAACATAAAATTGACTGTTTTTTTAATAAAAGCATTGCTGTTAAAAAATATTGTTTTTAATTGATTCAAAATTTAATTATTTATAGTTCAAGGCACAATTAATCTAATAATTACATATTTTTGAGTTTTTATAAAGCGATTTGATAATAAATTGTTTTTTTTTTCTTTCCTTTTTTCTTCGCCGGCTTTTCTATTCTTTTTTTTATTTTAATAGCAATGCCTCCCGCATCAACTGCGGGAGACCATGGGCCAGTGGCATCATCTCAACATTGTGATAATCGACCACAAATAAATACATCTCAAACGACTGAGCAGATGCAACAACAGAATTTAACAGAATCTCATACTTCTCCCTCTCCTTGTACTAAGAAGGGTTCCTTCTTTAAGAAAAACGTGGAGGATGGTATGGACAGGTACTGTCGATACAGTCTCGATTTTTTTTTATTGTACTATAGTTGTATGAGAGATTTCATAATAATATAGACTAGATTAAACTTGATAATATATGAACGCATCGGTCGATAATTACAGAGTTCTCGAACAAGTGAACTTCCAAGAAAAATTCTCATCGTTGCCGGAATTCAAACCGGAGGATATACAAAGCCCGAGTGCGATCAGTAATACTCCGGGTTCATCTAGCCATAGCAGTGCAGCTTCTGGATTACATTTGCAAACACCTATGCAGATGCCAGGTTATCGAAAAAAATCTGCACAAGGACCTCATAGGCCCACAAGTAATTACATAAAATAATCTGCTTATAATTTTCATTGGGTTTGTAATTACGCTCGTGATCCAAATTGTTTTTTTTTTTCTTTCTTTTTTTGTAACAGTGAATGAGGATGAGATCGACTCGGATACACCGATATCAGCTACTCCAAAGTCTACTTCAAGTGTCAAATTGACAGGCACCACATTTTTCGGCCCGGATTTCAACGTTGATGCTTATAGAGCTAACAATGATTTAATGGAAGTCGATGCTACTTCTCCGCGTACGCCAAAAACTCCTGGAAGCAGTGCTGGAAATACCGTAGGATTCGGTAGAGGTGACAACGAACGCGGTCATAGAAAGATCCTGGAGCAACGGAGACATTTAGTCATGCAGTTGTTTCAGGAACACGGTTACTTTCCATCCGCGCATGCGACTACCACGTTTCAACTTAACCATGCGGATATATTTCCTACCAAGACAAGCCTGCAATTGAAGATTCGAGAAGTACGACAAAAATTGAAAGCCAATTCGACTCCGAGTGCTAATAGCCTCGTTAGTCCTTTACCGGTGTCCGAATCTTCACCCGTTATAACTGGTAAGTAAAAATTTTATCTGTGAGCGTTTTGCATTGTGAGCTTTCTCATTTATCATAGATTGATATTGTAATTAATTTCTCGTTGATTCTTCAGGTTCAACTGCTCCTCCAACATCAATGGGAGCTCCACATTCACTGCCTGTAAGCAGTAGTGGTAGCTAGCACCCACGTGCCAACTGTGATACTATGCATCCCCTTACTCCGCAACATGAATACATCATTATTCTTTGAAGAGCAAAGTATATACTAGAAAAATCGTCAGTGTACACTCTCCTTGGAATTTGTAAAGTACTGCGGAAGGCTTTAGTGCAATTTTAAATTACAATGAAGTCAATGCGGATGACATTAGTGGGCATATTGAGACGTGTCGATATATAAATGTCAACGATGATCAACTTTGTATATAATACTAAGATATTAACCATTTGATAAGATATCAGCTATTCTCTTGGAATATGTGTTCGAATACTTGTGTTCGATCATGTGTTGAACAATGAAGAAATTATGAAAATTGCGAATATTCAATTAATGAGCCGCGGTATTATTTTGCGGTAATTTATGTTTTGTGCATATAAATTTTAACATTGTGTGTTTAATTCTATTATACTATATAGTAACGCACGACAATGGTTGTACATTGAAGCGTGCCTCGAGACTAAACTTTCTTCTTTGAGACGAAAAGACAATACTACACTGCAATATAGATTCAAGAAGGGTTAAAAAACATTTATACGGATATATTATTTCATTATATTTTAAAAATATAATATTCGCTGCGTAATTCGTAATTGTACAATTGATATTTGTATATCAATACGTCTTGCGTGATTCATGAAAGGCCTAAGCCATTGTTAAATATTGTTGAAAATATGAAGTAAAATTCCATAGAGAAAAAGAGAAACAATTAGAAAAAGAAGGAGAGAGAGAGAGAGAGAGAAAATTGTAATTGGAACATTACGGAACATAGAATTAACAGAACATTATGAAATGAAATCAGAATTTATATATATATATGTATATATTCTATATAATATATATACATATATATAAATATCATATATAGATTGGAAAGAAAACTATAGAATGAAAACTGATAAACAGCACAAAAATGTATGTAATACACTTATCAGGAACGTTTATTTTGCATGTAAATATTACGGAATAATCTTAAGGCAAAGGATAGTTTGAACAATTGAAATATCTACAATTCTTTATCTTAAGAATTGTACGAGCATCGTAGTCTTCATTTAGATTACGAAACCAGATGAAAATCGTGCCATCGTGCGGCGACAAAATGAAGGGAATATGCATGCGCTATAATTCCCTTTTTAGTGGAGAAATAATTGTTAGATAACTCTGATATATAGATAATATGTAATATGTTTCTGAACATTATTGAAAGTACTTATTCTACTGTTTTTAGAGACTTTGCTAAGATTCAATGCATTAATTTATATTTTATAAGTGTTTTAAAAACGGTCTCATTATTTTTTTTTTTTCAATTAATATTTTTCATTTATATTATATTTTTTTCCTTTTTTTTGGCCTTAGTTATAAGCGCTTTTATGTATGCCATTTTTTTCTTTTTTTTTTTGGTCCGTGACAAATACACATTTTATTGTTACCTTTATTGCATGTACCAAGTACTTAACATGTACTGCGTAGATGAAGAGGTAGGAAAAATCAGATTGTTGTTAATATACAAATATCGACATCAGTTTTTATTATGACAATTATCGTATGTCATTAATAATGGCAACAACGTACTAAAAATAAGATCGCATGCACTTTTATCGAAACATAAATGTTTACGTTGTACACATCGAATTTGTACATTATGTTGAATGGAGGATCAGTGTTGTTATATTGTGTATTTTAATAAGTTTATTCTTTATCATACAAGATAAGAGATATAATGTATCGCATCTGTTTTAACGTCTTTTTTTACTGATCCAAGGTTCTCCCTTTTTTATGTTGTTAAAAGCTTTAGAATTATCGCATCGAATTTTAGCAAAGATTGTTGAATTTGGCTGTAAAATAGATTATGTAATTATCATATGTTTATAAAAAAAAAAAGAGAGCGCACCTCGGTTGAAGTCTTGCGCCACGGCACGTATATCGTAGTTAGGATATGAGACGTCTATTCTACATATTTTGTAAATAGAAAACAATATACTAATTGAAACATATGTATATATTTCTCAATACATATATATATGTATATGTATATTGAATATATATATACAATATAAAATGTGGAGGTGTAGAATATAATGGTATTGTAATTTGTAGAGGTTATAATTATATGAGGAAAAATGCAGGCAGGATTAAGTTTAGAATAATTGCAGATTATGGGCCTTCATCTGTAGTGGACTCTTGTGCTCGGGACGGTCCTCCCACCCTTCTCCAAAGTTAATTCTTTCCTAAAGCGTTAGGATACTATTGTTTGTATATAATATAATTATATCATTATCCTATTGTCTCTTGATTTATTATTTTTTATTAAGCGTTAAACGCACTAGTGGCAAATAGTAGCGTAGGAAGAGGGAAACTTGAAGCCTGGATTGATCCTGTAACGCTTTTGTATCGTCGGCATTATTTAATATCTTATCATAATTAATATCTTGATTCTGCTGATGTGAGAAATCTCACTTCAGATTTATGGTGCAAGTCGTTTTAATACATTTTAAAACTATAAAAAGGAAAAATTTTTTCTAGTTGCATTTCGATTGCAAGCGATTAAAATTTGAAGGACATTGTATAATTGTGAGAGATTACAAAGAATTACGTTTATGTCACGTGTCGTGTTGTACAAGCTCATTTTTATTTAATTCGGTTAAATTCTAATAAAATATCAATCGACTGATATAAGATTCATAGAGCTTTTTTATAAAGATATTTTATTAGAAAATATTTTAGATACGAATGTTTAAATCTTATCGTATATTTATGCTGCATGTTGGTAAGATCTATTCCATATAGGAATGCGAACGAATTTGTCAAATATGTTACATTACCGCTATACTGCTCGGCAATAATAGGAGAACATTTGTTTTGTATCAAGAAATTGTTCATATATTAAATGCTATCTTTTTTTTAAATCTATACACGCACTCTCCGTAAAATCTTTTGAAAACGACGTATATAATGTTCGAGAGATATAATCTTAGTTCTAAACGAGACAGGATCTTAACAGGGTTTAAATGTTCTCTCACTCATCTCTCTCAAAGAATTAATACAAAAAATACTGTGTGTGTGTGTGTGTGTGTGTGTGTGTGTGTATCTGTATGTATATATATGTATATATATATATATGTA